GAGAGAGAGAGAGAGAGAGAGAGAGAGAGAGATATGATGATGATGATGATACAGAGAGGTAGATAGATTAAATAGATGACAGAAGTGGTGATGATGATGAGATAGATATGATAAATAGATAGATAGATAGATAGATAGATAGATAGATAGATAGATAGATAGATAGATAGATAGATAGATAGATAGAGATAGATGATAGATAGATAGATAGATAGATAGATAGATAGATAGATAGATAGATAGATAGATAGATAGATGATAAATACTGTAGATAGATGATACACAGCAGTAGATAAACAGGTGACAGAACTGATGATGATGAGAGAGATATGATAGACAGACGGACGGACGGACGGATGGATTGAGATAGATGTTAGATGGATGGATGGATGGATGGACGGATGGATTGAGATAGATGATGGATGGATGGATAAATGGCTTGCAGATATTCTCTTGATAAGGTGTTCCGTATTCCGTGCCTGGATCTCGCCCGCCTGCCTCTGACCAATCATTATTCACTGCTGCCTTTGTGAGTGGCTGTTCAGGCGAGGCCTTTGAAATCGTAATGATACCTTTGGATTTCACGCTGCAGATGAAGGCCAGGCGGAGGAGAAGGAAGGCGGGACGAGGACTGGCACATCTCAAATCGCCAGGAACAATGGTGGGCGTCAAACATTCCCAGAGGCGCCAGCAGAAGAGAATTACATGGCAGGGATGCCAGAAGAATGACAATAGTGACTTTCAAAGGGATGCCTCTGTATACACATGGAGATACACGCACACACACACACACACACACGCAAAAGTTCTATTCTCGAACTTGCGAATTCAACGAATTTCTTTAGTACAACAGTCTGAGAGAGATGGAATGGCAGACGCAAACATTCACCTGACACAAACGCCCTGCAGCCACGTCTCAATGGACTTGAAGTGGTATTTCATGTCTCCATAGGAGCTGGAGACGAACCTGTAGGATTCGAAGACCTGGGCTCGGCCGCGCTTCCTCCTGGCCCCCAGGCTGCGTTCTCCGTCCCCCAGCCAGATTTCCACATGGACGATGTCGTGGGGTTGCCTCTTACCTGCAAAGGAAGGGACACAGTGACACCTGGTCAGGCAGCACAACCTAGCTTGGCAAACGTTCCCTAGTTTGTCCCAGGTGTAGATGGGAGGGCAGGGAAGCGAGTGGGTCCCCACAGAAGGGCATTTACATCGTGGATCGAAGTAAACTCCCGAGATGAAGATGAGATCGCCGGGCTGCAAATGATCCTCACTGGGTAGGGTCACAGGAAGGGTGTCATACTGATAGGCTTGGTTGCCCGAGCCCATGTAGAAGCCAAAATCGTCTGCCAAGTCTCGCACTGCTTTCCGGATGAACCCACAACAATCCAGGAAAAGGGGAGACTCGTATTGAGGACCTGGAACAGGCAAAAATTAAAGCGGGCGGGGAGAAGGTCATCAGAAACTTAACTAGAGGGGGAAGGTGAGAAATTCCCCCCTCCCCTCGCCCCCAAAAAACCCCCTCTAGGTTTTTCAACCAACTGTCCCAAAGCTCCTGTCTTAGAAGGTTTGGCAATGGCAGTCCCGCTCATTTGGAGGGCAGCAGCTTCGGGATGGTTGAGCACAGGAGAAAATCGAGGGAGGGGAGAACTGCTTATATTCACCCTCTAGCTAAGGAGAAAAATAGCACAATCTAGCTCCGACCGCAATGGAGCCTGAAATGTACGTGACTAAAGGAAACATCGGTTAAGGAAATTTTTGCTCCGTTTTACGACTTGCTATGGTTTGTTAAGCAAATCCGGGTTTCCCCGTTGCTTGTCAGACGGTCGCAAAAGCAGATCACGTGATCCTGAAATAGGAACCGCTTGCCAAGGGCCTGAACTTTGATCACAGGGCCGTGGAGATCCTGCAGTGGTTGTAGGTGTGAAAAATGGTGGTTTTTCGGTGCTGTCGTTAACTTTTGAACAGTCACTAAATGAATGGCTGTAAGCCCAGGACTACCTGCATCTTGGCAAGGAAGACGGACGCTTCTCCAATGGTGGAGATCGAAATGCCCACCCAACTGCCCATGTTATGGGCATCATCTTTTGCCTGTTGACTCCAGAATATGGTTCTTACTTCCAGGCTGATGGTATTTCTTGGCATACGGTGTACCAACGTAGCTCTGGGCCTGCTGGAGGAACTTCATGCGAAGTTGCCACCTCTCATCGGGTTGCTGCAGCCTTCGGGCCAGCGTGTTTTTCTTCCTGGCTTGTCTGAATTCCTCCTACAGCCAAAGGGAAGGATGGAAAAAAGGAACCTTAAATAAATAAATATATATATATATATATTCTATTTGCACATTTTTCTTTAACATAAATGAGTGCTTAATAAATAGTATATTGTGTGGGTCAATTTACTTATACAAAATATCAATTATAGTAACAGTATTTACTTGTACATAGTGGTATTCCTCCGACTTCTAATTTCTACCTTTATTGTCTAACCATTTGTAAAACAAATGCCATGTTAAAAAATATTCTGTATCTTCTTTAACCTTTATCTTTAATGTTAACCTATCCATTTCCGTATAAACTAATATTTTTTTAATTATGTTTTCCTCTGTAGGAATTTCCTCATTTTTCCAATATTGTGCAAATACAATTCTTGCTGCTGTCAACAGATGTCATATTAAATATACAACCCCTTTGTCATATTTTTCTGGTAATATACCTAACAGAAATATCTCTGGCTTTAGATCTACATGTTGCTTCATCGTTTTCTCGAACCAGGTATGTATTTTGCTTTTGAAATTCTTGTCATAACAGCAAAGGAAGGAGGATGAAGAGGGAAGAGGAAAAATAAACCCATTAGACATGTTGGACAGAAAGTTATGGTAGGTGCCCATCAGGTCAATGTTGACCCTCCGTGAGGATCTATCCTTAACAGTCTTTATGGATCAGGTATTGATTGCAAAGGGACTAGTAGGAAGGCAAAGGGAGAAATCTGAAAAAAGCCTTTATTATTATTATTTATTTTTATATTTGCTATATATAGAAAGAGCAACTGTTTCAATGTCTAAATAAACAGCGTGTTATCTTGTTACAGTTAGTTGGAGCAATCATCATCATAATAAAATTCATTAGTAGTAGTCATATAATAACAGTGTTTCCTTGTCATGATATTAATTCTTGTTGATTATTGATACTAATTCATATTAATAATAAACATGTCATAATAAGCCCTCATAGTGAAGTTAACCCTTCTCTTATAATTTTAAACATTCTAACTTCCGATCCTAGTAACTATTGATAAAACGAATGCCATATTTCAAAATGTTCCATGCCTTCTCTTTAATTTCAAGTATTAATCTACCCATTTCAGCACATTCTAGTATTTTTTATTTATTTATTGTCTTCTCTTCTGTAGGAATCTCCACATTTTTCCAATGTCGTGCAAATATAATTCTGGCTGCTGTTGACACAGGTAATATTAGATATATAGTCACTTTATTATCTTTTCCTGGTATGATGTCCAACAGAAATATTTCTGGTTTTAGATCTACGTTCCTTTATCATTTTTTTTCTATGTATTGGACAAAGTCTTAGTGAGACTGAGGTTGCAGGCAGGAATTAATGATCTGTGTCTGGTGCCTGGCATTTTTTCAGTGAGACTTTAGAACAAACAGAAAAATGTGGCTCTGCGATTACCAACAGCAGGAAGAATGAGGAAGAGAATTCAGGAGTCCTTCCCCATCGCTGCTCCTTCTCTCTTTCTGGTCGGCCGCAATCTTGGGTGGGGCCACCCTCCCCGGCCTGACCTCATCCCAGATGCCATCAAGGAGCCCGAGAAACGGGCACGAGCTTGCCGCGGTTCCTGCCCAGGGCCGAACTGCTTGCAAAAGGCAGACACTGGACTCCTTTTGGAGAAACGGGCGGAGCGGTTTATAAAGCGGTGGATCATTGGTTGACTTTGCCGTAGGGCCGGGCTGCGGGTCTGTCCACCTCCCAGAAGGCTTCATGGGAAATATGGCTTGGCCCTTCTGAGGGATATAGAATAGAATAACAGAGTTGGCAGGGACCTTGGAGGTCTTCTAGTCCAACCCTTGGCTTAGGCAGGAAACCCCCTACCACTTCAGGCAAAGGGTTATCCAATCTCTTCTTAAAAACTTCCAGGGTTGGAGCGTTTACAACTTCTGGAGGCAAGTTGTTCCACTGATTAATTTCTCCTTAGTTCTAGGTTGCTTCTCTCCTTGGTTAGTTTCCACCCATTTCTTCTTCTCCTCCCCTCAGGTGCTTTGGAGAATAGCTTGACTCCCTCTTCTTTGGGGCAGCCCCTGAGATATTGGAAGACTGCTATCATGTCTCCCCTAGTCCTTCTTTTCATTAAACTAGACTGCAACCGTTCTTTATATATTTTAACCTCCAGTCCCCTAATCTTCTTGGTTGCTCTTCTCTGCACTCTTTCTAGAGTCTCAACATCTTTTTTACATCGTGGTGACCAAAACTGGATGCAGGATTCCAAGTGTGGCCTTACCAAGGCCTTATAAATGAGATCAGCCTGGAAAAGGCACAGCACGGAAGGAAAGTGGATGGGCACGGACGAGGGGGAGGGGGGAAAAAAAACTCCCTTTCACATGCCACAATTTTTAACTTGCAGGAGGTGAAATAGATTTGGGGTTAACAAACCAGAAGTGAAAAGACGGTCGGAGAGAGAAAGAGAAAAGGAAATGGTCCATAAGAAGAAAGAAAGAAAAAAAAAAGCAGACAAGGCTAACATAAAGCAGAGGTTTATCCTAGTCACCTCTTCATTCCAAATCATGAGATCTAGAGCCTTGCCTGGCTCCGGCAGCTCTCAGATTAAAACAGCCAAGATGATTTTTGTGAGTGTTACTTCTTACCTGCCAAGACCGGCGAAATCTTGACAGTATTAACTCTGAAGTTGGCAAAACAGGAGAAAATAAATATTTACAAGGGGGGAGAAAAAAAAAATTGAATGGAAGCGAGGAGATGGATCTCCACCATGCAACTAGCACAGACATCATCAGCCCCGGAAAGCCGAATTAAATAGCAAGGGGTTAAAAACAGGAAAGCAGACCAGGCATGGCGTCACTCTCAAAAGGGGGCCGGCTGGCATTCCTTAAAGTAAATCATTGGCACGGCTGAGTTCGGCTTACCAGCAGGCCAACATTGAGATGTTGGAAAAGAATGAAAGGTAGAGATGGATGGCCCTTTTTCCCCCCCACCCCCTTCACCAGGCTGATTAATCTCTCGATGAAAAGCCCATAGCCAAAGACCCCGCTGCTTGCAAACTTCACACAACATCCTCTCACAGGCTGTTTTTTTTTGGGGGGAAGCAAAGCCAGCCATCTGTGCCGGCAAGGGCCTGCAGCAGAGGGAGGCTTTTAAAATCGTTTTCCGTCGGCCCGGCAGGGAGAAAAAAACTTTCAAGGAAAAAAAACAAACAAACCTGCCCACTTCTGCGATCAATTGGGGATGATGGGATGCTGGGCTTTGAAGCTCTGGACCTGGGTCCCAAAAGAGGCCGAGTTATTGATGGAGAGTTTCCCACAGTCCTCAGTGGTTAATAACTAATTGCCAGCCAGCGTTGACTTCAAGCAGACGGCTGGCTTGTAAATGAAATTAAAAGCCCCCTGACCTCTCATGTAACAGTGGTTTAATGTTTCTCCCCGGGGACCTGGTCTCGGGTTTCCCAGGCTGGTTTTCCTTCTTCCCACCAAGGGGTGGAGTCCGAGCCTTTAGCGGGAAGTCCTTCCACTTTCCTTCCCATCTCGGTTTACAAAAGCAGCCACCATTCTTTGCAAGGCTATACAGTATAGGATTCCGCAAGGAAGGAAGGTGGGAGGGTTACCTGCTGTTGGGAGAATTAATCCAGTTTTTTCTTTTTTAATTTCAGCCTGGAATGGAGGACAGGGCTTTTCTGGGCAAGCCAAGCCAACCCACCCCCCAATTCGATCCCAGGCCCGGCTGGAAAACACCCCGCCCCCCACCCTTGTGAATTATTTGCAGGCTTCCTCATCACCCAGTATCATGGTTTGTTTGCACAAGCCCCAAGGGGGGCAGGTTCCCACAGTCTGTTCCCAAAGCCACCGTTTGCAAACAAGGGCGCCAGAGGTCAAGGCGAGGCACCTGGAGAAGGGAGAGTGACAAAGAACGCCCCTGTTTGGCAGGAAGCAAGGGCCATGGGATGAAGCCACAACGGGGAGGCGTTCAAGGGAGGCGGGGGGGTCACGTCTCCTGGAGTGGCAATCCCGACTTCCTGGCTGGCTTTTGGGGGCCAAGGACGGTCCAGGAAGGCCGGTCCATTGGAGGGTTTGCAAATTCTTTTGGTTCTTGTTTTGAATCCAAGGGTGTCTAAATTGCAATACGTTGGTGGAAAAGGTTTGCCCAAAAAGGACAGGTTTAGAAGAAGTGGGAAAGGGTGGGAGAACATCAGCAGTGCAAAAACGAGTGCAAAGTCTGTTTAGAATAGAATAGAATAGAATAGAATAGAATAGAATAGAATAGAATA